GAAGAAGGGGAGGAGAACATGGGGTCTCCAAAAATAAATTAAATACCACTTTCTTCAGACCTGCCATTTCTCAACAAACCAAACACATTCCAGAAGTTTTGTCTGAGGGTTCATCAGGAGCTGGCGGCAAGAGCTGGCAGAGGAAGGGACAGGAAAGGAAAGCCACCAGCCACAGCGGTAATGTCAGCCGAGGGGAGAGAGCCCACAGAGGGGAGGGGATTCTCAGCTGCCCCAGGGGGTGGGGGGGGGTTCATGAACAGATGGGGACGTGGGGTGGAGAAGATTATTTCAGCCAGTTCTAGTGACCCAGAAAATGAAAAGGCAGAAAAAGAAAGTCCCAGTGATATCCCTGGGAAAAAATGAGGCCTCAGCCCCCTTTTCAACCTGCCCTCAAAGCTGCACACAGCGGCCGTGTTGAGTCCCACCCTCCTAATCCTAACCTTGCTTTCCTTTCCAAACGAGGCAAAACACCTAACGGGAGGACGAGAGTCCCCAAACCTAAAGGGTACAAACAAACAGCTCACATGGGGGACACAAATGTTAAACAACAGCATGAAGGGGGCTGCTACTAAAGACAAAGCCCCCAACCAGAAAGGAGCATAGTCCAAGTTCTGAAAGTAGCAAAAGCATATTAAAAGGTTAGCGACTCACGGCGGTGAAGTGTGAAGACACCAGCAGCGCTCACACTACCTGGAACGCGCAGTGGCTGCTGTAACAAGCCCGTCTACAAAGACAGGCATGACCTGTGGCCCACTCTTCCCACAACCAGCAGTTTATCCCAAAGGCACACCTACGCAGGGAAAGAGAATACTGGCCGATATTCTCAGAGTGTGCTTACTACTAACCCTGCATCTTACAGGTGGGGCTTTTCATTTTTTTCCTTACAATGAATGAAGAAACTTGCTTTAAAAAATTAAAAAAAAAAAAAAGTGAAACCTAGCTGGTAACCCCAAACATAATCTAGTAAACGGTAATAAATCCAGTGATGGAATATCACGCAGCAACACGACAGCACGACCAGGCAGGTGGAGAAGAAAAGGACGGCTACGACGTGATGTTAAAAAGCACAATACGAAACAAGCACGTTCATAACAGCTGGCATCTACTGACTCTCAATTCTGACCCAAATGCTTTTCTAAACACATCACGGCTAATCTTCACAACCACCACACGTGATGGTGTTGAACCATCCTCACGTTCCAACAGGGACACAGGCCCTGAGAGGTTTAGGGCCATCCAGCCGGAACCTGCGCCCGGGCAGTCAAGCTTCAGCACGTGCCCCCGGCTCTGATGGCAGGTCACCTCCCTACAGCAACCGGCACAGCTGCAATTCCAACCACGTACGACTCCGTGTGCCCAAAAGCGAGAATCGTAAACCTACCTGCAGAAATGCAAAGTATCTCTGAGGCAGAATTACAGGTGTTTTGCTTTGCTCCAAACTGTCTTCACTGCTTTGCTACATAATTAACTTTTTAATAATAGGCTTTTGTGTTTCCTCAAGTACCAAAGGGCCTTGCAGAAAGGGAAAGCAATAATGTGGGTCTGGCCACACCATCTTCTCTTGGGTAGTAAATACTGACAAGAATGTACCCACAAAATGCCTCAGAACAAAACACTTCTTGCAATTTCAGAGACACCCAAGAGGGGAAGGTTGCTTGGCAGAGGACTCGCCAATTATCCCCAAGCATGGAGGATTAAATAACCCAGCTCTAGCTCGATGACAGCACAGAGGCAGCCACCGCACCGATTATTAAATAAGCCGGGGAAGCCACTTGGCGGCATGCAAGGGAAGCACTCGCTGCTTCGGGGAGCACAGAGTTGATGAGACCCTTCACCGGGCTCCTCTGGGGTTTGCACGAGTTGGGCAGCCACCATGGAGTAGAGCCTTAGGTGCTTCACATGCCGGGATGGGACTGCCAATCTGAACTGGGATTGCTCTTGCAACACCCACTCCTGGGACAGACACCCATGTTACAGACTGAATTGCATCCCGCACCAAATTCATGTGTTCAAGCCCTAACCCCCAATGTGAGTGTATCTGGACACAGGGCCAGTAAGGAGATGACTGCGGTTAAGCACGGTCCTAAGGGTGGGGCCCTGACCTCATAGGACTGGTATCCTTGTAAGAGAGAGAGGGACACCGGGATGCGTGTGCACTGGGGAAAGGCCGGGAAGGGCCACAGAGAGAAGGCGGCTGTCTACAAGCCCAGCAGAGAGGCCTCCCCAGAAACCAACCCTGCCGGCACCTTGATCTTGGCATTTCAGCCTCTAGAACCACGAGAAATTTTTGTTGTTGAAGACACCCAGTCTGTGGTCCTTTGCTATGGCAATCCAAACAGACTAACACACCCTGGATCCCCAGACAGACGTGCTCTTCTTACCTCTCTCGCAGATGGCATAGAGGTGGGGGTGGGATGGGGGCATGCAAATCAAACCATCCTGTACTCGAAATTTCTAAGAATCTGTTCTGCAACACACACAGGTGGATGACAGTGCTGTCCCCTAACAACTACCTAAATGTACAGCCACTGCAGAAACAGAAGCCCACCCGGCCAGCCACCCACACACGGTCACTGCTAACCACAGACCACATGACTACCAAGCACTGAGGGTCAAATGTGGACGTACTGACACTTGTCTTCAGAGATTTCAACTGTAAATTCTGAATATGTCCCTAACTTGCCAAAGATATCGAATAATAAAATGGTTCAGTTTCTAGAAAACAGTATGAGTAAAAACAAAAGCAATCGAAATTCCTGCCATATGTAAAAGAACACTGTCCTTTAGAGTAGCTACGTCTCAAAGCCAGGATAAAGTCTAACCCCTCTACCAGGCACCACCTACACAGAAAGAGTCGTAGATGCTAGAAAGACAGGGCATTAAACAGCAGCAAGTCACAGAGGTTTCTCTTTTTCACTTCTCCAATCCGTTTCATGCCTTTGAGTTTAGCACTAGGCTACCTTTAACACCTTTCTAACGCTCACTCACTGACCGTCTCTTTCTGGTACATGAAAATATACTGTGTTTTCACTCCCAAAATGTATGGTCTTGGTCTTTCCCTCTTTCCTTTGTACAGGGCCAAAAAAAGAAACACTGGCTACTTTGACGCCTTAAAGTGGACTCCAGGAATGTCACCAACAGCATGACCTTTGCAATCAAACCCAGCAGCCAGAACTCAATCCTTTTCCTCAATAAAGTTCAAGCAACCATCACTGGCTTCAAGGGTTGTGATTTTCTTGCCGTTCTTGATCAGCTGGACCCTAACACACCTCCCTAACACACACAGTTGAAGCTGTGAGGCTTCAACCCCTACTTTTTCTAGCACAATCCCCTTTGCATGAGAAGTACCCACAAAAGGGTTGGCCTTCGGGCTGCGCCCAAATGAGCTTTCCCATCCCACTTCAGTCCCTCGGTGGTTGCGGAGCTTCCTGGCAGTACAAAGGCTGAGACACTTGCCCATCCTGGCGGGGCCACGGGCCTGGGCCACAGACAGCAGCAGCGCCGTCTCCCATAGTGGGACAGGCAGCAACAGCCAGGTAGACGTGATGACAGTTTCCTTCCACTGCCTTTATTCCGCAGTTACCCGATACTTAAGCCAACTAATGGTGGCTCTCCATTTACGGTAATGAGATAAAGTTTCCTTTTTAAATAAAGGCATTCAAGTTTTTTTTTAAGTGCATGATTAAAAATAAAACAAGGTACAGAGTAAGTAAATGACTGAAATTTGAAAAACAGCTAAGTTTGAAAAACCCTAAGTATTCACCCACCCCGAGGGTCCCACAGACTGGGTGATCTTTTAATACCCGCTCAGCTGGGTTCAAGACTGAGAAATGCCACAAAACCACACGTGTCCATCACACAAAGTGTGACTGGTCATTCCCACACACGGACCTCAGTGTCCGCTCACTTCCTGCTTCACCCTTGAATCAGAGAGTGCTGGCTGACCCCAAAGGCCATTCTTCCTTAGCAACAAAAACTCTAATTTTTTTTTTTTTCAACTAGCTACACTGTCCCGTTCATAGCCAGGACAGGCCATGGGATAAATGTTGGCCAAAGACATATGAGGGACACCGTGAGCACCTTCTATTAATAGTAGGGTCCTTGCAGCTGGGGCTTCACCTTTTTTGCACCTTAGGCCCACTCTGCAGTCTGGGAAAGCCCATGGCTCCTTTTCAGCAAAAATATTTTAAAGTACATAAAACACACGAGATCACAAAGGAAACTAATCATATTGAAATGGAATGGTCATAGCTGAAGGAAACACTGAATTTCAGACAGAAGTTAGTGAAAAACGTAATTTTTTCGCTGTCCAAGTTCAGACCTCTGAGTCCTATACGTGGAAATGGAGAAAGTCTCTCCTTTGCCCCTCTCATCTTTCCTACTACCTGGGATAAGAATGAAATGGCTGGAGCCAAATGGCTATTTTGGTCTATGGAGCAAAAAAGGAGCCCTGGTCTCTTACGACCATGGAACCAAATACCAGCACCAGCCTGCCCACCTCTGTACAGAGAGATGGACGTCTATCTCATTAAACCAGAGCTGGTTTACTTTGTTCTGTAAAGCCATTCAAACCTACTCTTAATTGCTACAGCTCTAATACTTTTTCTGGGTAGTGAAGTTGGAAACAGTTAAAACATGATCATTAGCAATGTTTAATCACCTCGGAGAGAGACACTCTTCCTTACCTACAAAAATGATCCCTCCAGAGTTACGAAGGAAACCCAAATAGAATAGTTCCTCTGTAGCTGAGGCTAACCCCGAAACCTTGAACCACAGAAGTCTATCTCAGTACTGCGCCAGCCCTGAAGCACATCCGTTAGAGCACACACATGCCGAAGGACCACACACTAACCACGGTTCCAGAAGCCTATGACCACACACGCCTTCGAGTCCACCTTGCTGTGTCCCACAGCCACGTGGAGCAAGCACGAACGCACTGCCATGATGTACTGCCCAGAAGTCACCCCAGAGCTGGCGGAGGTGGCTCAGAAAGTACTTACTAATTGTCATCGACTCTGGCACCGAGGCAGAAGGTAACAGGCTGCTCAGGGGACTTCCTTGGCCTGGAGAACTTGCTTCCACGCTAGGAAAAAGCAGGCAGAAGGAAGTTACACTTGACCACTGAAAATGCACAACCTTAGTTTTTGTTCTAAAAACTAGCAGGTGGTAAGTTTATTCGGGCACATCTACTACGAGAAACAGAAGGCGGTCATTGGAAATTAGTCAGTCCTCATTATTTGTATATCCCATACATGCAAACTCATCCACTCACTGAAATTTACTCGTAATCCCAAAATCAATACTCAAGGCACTTTCACGATCATTCATGACTGTGCACAGCAGCCAAAAATTTGAATCGCCCAGTGAGCACGATCCCAGAGGAGGCCAAACAAGGCAACGCTCTGCCTTCTTGTTTCAGCTTTCATACCGTCAACAAGTGTCCTTCGTGCAGTCCATATTTAGTGCCACATTTTTAGCATTTTTGTACTTTTTTTTGGTGATTTTGTTGTTTAAAATGTCCCACAAGCACAATGCTGAAGTGCTGTCTAGTGTTCCTAAGCACAGAAGGCCGTGAGGTGCCTTATGGAGAAAATCTGTGTGTTAGACCAGCTTTGTTCAGTCGTGAGTTACGGTGCTGCTGGCCATGAAGTCCATGTTAATGAATCAACAACATACATGAAATTAGGTGTCTTCAAACAGGAACAGACATAAAACCAGGTTATGTATTGACTGGTTGATAAAAGTGTTGTGACCAGAGGCTCAAGCAACCTACCCTGTATTTGCCCAGGAGCACTGGTCCAGCCTTCACAGCAACTTCATAGAACATAACTCTTGCAAATAATGAGAACTGACTGTATATTTACAAAGGATTTGCAACATGAAAAATTACACTTCACATCTTTTGCGAAAAGAGCAGCCCATCATCATATGGTTAACACATACACACACATACACAAACACACGTGCACACACATGCGCACGCACACACACAGACACACATACCCTGACTAGAAAGAAAAGCACGAAAACATCAACAGCATAATGGAGTTGGAGGTTCAGAGTGGTATTTTTGTATTCACTGCCTATTTTCCAAATTTTCTAAAATATACAGCAAAAAAGGACTCAGAGCCCTGGAAGGATCTGGTGACACCAATCCCTTCTGACACTGCACCAACTAGTACAAACCTCCTCCATGTAGTGTCATTTTCTGAGAGCAGAACTCCTGTCTATTCCAGGTGGGGCCATGACACCTAAAATGGTCTAGTAGTAGTCAGAAAAGTCCCACCCTAGAGCTAAGGTTGGAAATGCAGATGTGGGCCAGGTACAGTGGCTCACACCTGTCATCCAAGCACTTTGGGAGGCCAAGGCAGGAGGATCACTTGAGGCCAAATGTTCAAGACCAGCCTGAGCAACATACCATGACCCTGTCTCTACAAAAAATAGAAAAAATTAGCCAGGCATGGGAGTGCATGCCTGTAGTCCCAGCTACTGAGGGACTGAGGGGTGAGGCAGGAGTCCTAGGCTGCAGTAAGCTATGTTGATGCCACTGCACTTTAGCTCAGGCAACAAAGCAAGACCTTGTCAGAAGGGAGGGGAAGGGAACAGAAGGGGAAGAAAGGAGGAAGGGAAGGGGAGGGAAGGGAAGAGGGAGGGAGGGAGGAAAATGCAGATGTGATAGATCCCTGGGGCCCCAGATGAGAACCATGAGGAGAGAATAAAACCGGTAAGAGCAGCAAGGATGCTGGTAGCATCAGGGAGACCTAAACATCCAATGACTTTGGGTAATTCAGTTTCCCCTTGACATACTTTTATTTGAAAAAAGAAAAAGAAAATCTATATACTGCTTACTATATGCCAGACAGTATACTAAGCACTTCACAAATATATAATATCTAAGTGGCTTAAATTTTATATAACACTAGGATTGTTAAATATTATTTTCAAATAATAACAAGTATTTAAAGAAAATAATGATAGAGGAGGTACTCAGATATGACCCAAAAAGTGTAAAAAGTAAAGGTTGTGTGCAAATGAAGTTTGACAACTACTGTCTCTTGTACACTGTCTCCGAGAGAAAGATGATCTCCGACCGTTGGCAACTGCACATTTGTGATGGAAAGACTGAACTGCAACACAAATAGGAAGTGGGGCCTTGCCCTTTAATCCTAGCAGGTACCGTCCTATCTGTAAAAAAGAATAAAATGCACAGTTGGGAACAGCACATTTTAATCCAAAAGGCAACCTGGTTCTTAATATTAACCTGTACCGAAGCCCGGACTCCGGAAGAGCGTGGTCCTCTGGTCCCGTCCCGTTCTCCAGGCTTCCGAGGGCAGCATCTGTGCACAGACAGCAATCAAGGCAGAAGGTCAGGTTTTTGTTTTCATTCCATTTTCTCCACGAGACAAGGACATAATGCAGACGTTGGCTCGTCTGCTAAACCAGTCAGAAAATTTCCCCCACCTTATCTGCACACTGAATTTTGATCCGCTACCTGATTCATTTTTTCAGATATTATCTCAGACTTGGCATCAGTCACTGATAGAAGGCCCTGTACTTCCCCTTCACCTGTGACTTTTTTGACCTCAGACCTGGAATTATGCATGAAATCCAGAATCAGGGAGTAATACACGAGCTTTGTTAGACAAAACTGCGCCTGCTTGTGGTGGCTCCAGTCAGACACTAGAGGGCAGCATGGCCTAATCACGGACAATGTCTGCTGCTTTCGGAAAAAAGCCACTTTACCCTGCATTAAGTGGCATTTGGGAAAGGCATTCACAAGAAGTGAGGCCATAAATAGTCTCTAAACTAACAGGTAAGAGACATTAACAATTTTCATAAATGTATTAGCTGTCACTCCAGTCTCCTTCCAGGGAGTGCCAATCTTCCTCGGCTGGATGGTGACGTTGAGCCCAGTGTCACCCGGGAGAACTCCTGCTCATTCAGAAACGTATTTGTCAGTGCCTCTGTGGAACCAGCCCTGTGTCAGGAACAGGGGACACAGGGAGGGAGCATGTCTCGTTTGCCTAATCCGCCCCCCACGCCATTCCTCTGATGCCGGCATTAGTCACATCAAGACCCACCAGCTCTTCAGGGCTTGAACTTTAGGGAAACATATCAGGAAAAAAAAATGTTTTTTATCCTTTTCTTCTATCCTGCTGTCCACATCAAGCTATTCCACTCACTCCTAACTCTCAAGAAGTTTGAAGGGGAAATAAAAAGTGCTACTTCTCCACCACCCCCTCCTCGCTACCGAATATCCAGGTTCGTTCAGGGGTGCAGGCTCTGCCTGGCTGCCTGGGCTCACGTCCCTGCTCCCTGACTTTAATTCGGCAAGATCCCTAGCCTCTCTGCGCATCAGTTTCGCCACCTATGAAACAGGGCGGCACCACGGCCTCGCATGCCGCACTAATGCCTACCACACAACTAAACGTCACATTCTAACAAGTGCAAAACTCGGTGAGAGCCGGCAGCAACTCGCTCCAGAACCGACCCTGGTTATGTCGGGTTCTCGCGCTCCCTGCCACGCCTCCTACTGGGAGCTCTCCTCTCTCAGCCTCCCCAACACTGTTCTTTGGCCCTCCTCCCCCGCCATCTGTTCTCTGATTCCTGAGTGAAGACATCTTGGAATCATGGCTCCGTGACACTCTGTCCCCGGTGGTAAATCTAGCAAGACCTTGGCTACGGCTCTCACCTCTGTGAAGATAGCAACTCGCAAGCCCTCGCCTTGGCTGGGACCTCGGTCTTGAATCCTAGTCACACATTTCTAACTGCCTGCCAGAAAGCGCTACTGGGACACCCCAGTAGGCTGGGCGGACCTTCACAACCACTCGTCTAATGTCCTGCTGGGCTGTCGGCTCAGGAGAGCATGGCACCACCCTCTGCCCCATCACAGAGCCAGGTGGGATCTGCGACTTCTCAGTGCCACCAAAATTATCTCCCACTCTTTCCGCACAAGCTGCTTCCACTGCGCCATAGTTCGAAGCCTCCGTACCCCCTCGGGGCCTTCTGCAGCAGGTCCCTCCACTCTGTGTCATCCGTGCTAATCTGACACATGGCTGACAGATGCCATTCCCTGAAGCAAAGACAGGGACCCCAACCTACACAGTGGCAATTCACAGCCGGAGTACAGGCCAACACCCTCCACCTGACGTGATATCCACTCGGCCCCAGGTGACTCCCCACTGGCCCCTTCACACGGCACAGCCACGACGACCGCTCGCACCTGAAGTGAGCCTGACACGCTGGGATGCACAAACATAGACTGTCTCATCCCTGTGCCCCCTGGGAGACAGGCACTGCTGTTATCCTAATCTTACGGATGAGGAAGCGGACCCTGAGAATGTAAGTGACACGTCCAAGGTCACAGCTAACAAGTGCGAGGTCGCGAACCCCGGTCTGCCCAGTGGGAGAGCTGAGCCCTGTCCCACGTCAGCTCCCAGGCTCTCATCCAGCGGATCCGAAATGCCTGCTTCTGCCTCTACGCCTCCTGGCGTTCCTGCCTCTACGCCTTTGTCCACACTGTGTCCTCCGTCCAGATTATCACGTTTCCAACGCCACGCATCACTGCCCACAGCACGCGCCGCTCTCCGCCCACTGCATCCACCCATCCACCCCCCCAGCAAAGGTTCGCTGAGCCCCAGCTGTGGGCCCAGCACTGGCCAGACACGGCACTGTCCAGGGTCACACTGGGAGCTGGACGGACATGGTCCTGCCCTCATAAACCTCACAGATGAGTAGGGGGAACAGCCTCTGTCAAGCCATTGCAGAAATCATCATTCCAAGCTGAAATCAGAGCAACAGAGACACACAAGGTTTCCTGACCACAAGAAACACGGGCCTGACCTGTCTGAGGAGGTGTCAGAGGAGCCCTCTCGAAGGAAGCAACGCTTGAGCTGCGACCTGAAGGATGCACCCGGGGGTGCAGAAGGCACGTGCAGAGAGAAAGGGCACGGCTGTGTGAGGAAGTGGAAGCAGGCTAGTGTGGCCGCCAGGGGCACCACGCAAAGAGGAAATGGAAGGAGGTAAGGGTATAGGGTTAGCTGGGGCCCCGGTAGCCACAGTGAAGATTCTGGATTTTATCCTAAGAGCAGTAGAAGGGTTTGGAGCAGGGGAATGATACAATCTGGTTATATTCTAAAAAAATCACTCTGGCTGCTAAACAAAGAATGCCCAGGGGTAGGGGATGAGGGTAGAAGGTGACAGTGTGTTGAGAAGCTATTTTGCAACAGCCCAGGCAGGAGATGATAATGAGTTAGAACAGGGTGGTAAAAACAGTCATTCCTTTCTCTATCCGTTATTGAAATGATGTCCCCTGTCCCCTCTTGCATGCATCCAGGTGGGATGCGCCTTCACATCCCCAGAGCCCAGTACGATGCATGGCACAGAGGAGGAGTGAGAGATGATTGAATAAAGAAAACCACGAACCCCAAGCGGCACACGGCCGACCTAAGCGTGCTGGGAACGCGGCACCCTGCCAGCCACCGAAATATCACGACATTCGGAACAATAAAACTCTAAGAGCCAAGCATTAAAGTCAACCATATCAGATCAGGGCAGTGCTACCACACAGTCCCTCCTCGACCTCGGGGAACAAGGCCACAGACCCAAGGTTAGAACATGAGAAACTGAAGAACTTTAGAGTCAGAGAAAGGGCTTGAGGACCTGAGGTTTCAAATGAACCTAAGAAGGCCCGCAGAAATTGGCTGAGCATTTACTAAAACCCAGCACTAAAGACAGGACCCTCAGTGAGGAGACGAGCGATCACATTGTCATATTTCAAATGAGTGGTAACGGGTGTTTTCTCACCTCCGTTTATTATTCTCACACAAGAGAAACTTTCGGAGCTCTCCCTTGCTTGCAGCCTCAAGACGTTGGTCAATTTGCTTTGCTCGGTTGTAGACAACGCACACCCAGAGGAATCACTGTTGTGTCTAATCCTCCATCGGCTTGTCTGGGTTTCGTGTTGTGACCTGAGCTGGCGTCGCCCTTGTCTGACTCGCTCCCTAACCCAAGACATGCAGCTCAAATCACACCCCCTGAACCACACACTGCCTCTTCCAAGATTCAGAAGGATAAGAATGCCTTTCAAGGTTCCCGTTTCTCTCTTCCCTCAAGGCTCAGCTGCAAAAATCACCCTGCAGCCACGCGCCTCTTCCCTTTCTGCCTCCCCCGCCCGCTATCTCTAACTACCCGAGGGCAGCGACTGCAAAGGCACCAACACTTTCAAAGATGACTGAAAAGTCTCCTAAGGTGAGGAGCCCTCTACGCGTGAAGTCACCATCCAAGGACAAACCGGCTCCTCAGCCAGAATGAGGGGGAGGTGGGAACGTCGCTACGGTCACAGGGTGTCCATCAGAAGGGACCCGAGGCAGAGACAGAGCGAAAGGAAAGGAGTCTCGGACAGAGATGTTGGCAGTGTCCGCCCTGGCAGGCAGGCCGAGTCTCAGCACCACCTGGTCCGGCACCGCCATGCAAATGGGGCGCTGGGCCAGGAGGGACTTGACGCGACTTGGCATTCCAATCAGGTCACCAATTTCCCCTAGATCCGATTCCAGTATCTCCACGCGGCTCTAGAGCACAGCGCGTTTTCCCCGCGGGCTGTCGCAGCTTACAAGCCTCCTGGCAGCTTGGTTACGTTGGCAGGCTGGCTCACACACATCATCTCTGGTGCGTGTAACCGAGATACGCTGGAGCCCAGGTCCCATCGAGGGTGACAAGATGGAGACTCGGTCTGGGAGCTGACAGCCAGGTGGGGGACCACAGGAAATCTGCCGGGGAGCCTTCTCTCGAGGACCCTAGAGGCCACAGGAGAGCTACTTTCCCCAGAGACACTAGCCTACGGAAAGCCCAGAGGGGAGGAAGACCGCTGCATCCTGTACAGCCAATCCCGAGGTGCTCGGAACAGCAATGGCGCAGAGCAGCCGCCATCGGAGCCACTGAAACAAAGCAGACAGCCCACTGCGTGCACCTCACCGCCCAGCGATGACTCGTGGGCCAAACGACACGGTCCCAGGGTGGGGAATGAGGCAAAGCAAGTGGGGACTGAATCATGAGCTGGAGGCCGCGAACAAACACCCAGACTCCTCAGTGGCCCCAGACTCTTTGGGACCACCTGCTCCCTCCAAGCCCGCACCGCTTCTCAGACACTCTGCCTGCATCTACGCTGCTGCTAAAGGGACATCGGTAAGGTGACTGTCGCCCCAACCCTTGGCTGTTTGGACCACGGACAGTCCAGAGATGCAGGACTTCTGTGGCCTGGCGTGCGGACGGGAGCTAGGCCCACCAGACTGTCACTGTCACCTCAACTGAGACCCAGGGAGAAGTTCCGGTAGGTATGGAAGGTCACGTGGCGGAGGCACGTGAGGCCTTAGCACATGCCTGGCATTTTCCCGGATTAAGTCAGGGACTTTTCACCACCATCGCAGAGGAAGGTGATATAATAATAACCACCCTTCCTCGCAGGGCTGCAGTCGGAGCTGGTGAGATCATCGGGCCGATCGCTTTGCAGTGCTGGACCCACTTCGAGCTTCCTGCAGTGGTGATATGACGTGACATCTTGTCCGCAGCCTGGGAGCCGGGACGCTGGAGTGGAGGGGACTCTCTCGACTTGGTGGGGTGATCACCCTACTCATGTGGCTTCCCCCGGATCCCCTCTCGCTCCTCCGTCAGTGTTGCCCACCACCATCGCGATCACCCCCATTTTCCAGATGAAGACACTGACAGACAGAAGTCCTCAGCCGTGGACTCATCAGCCTCACTTTACAGGCAGGAATGTTGACACTTGGGAAGAAACTTGCTTAAACTCACACAGCTTTCTAGGGCTGGGCCTGCGTCTGACCCCCACTCTGTCCTGCTGCTGTGAATGTCCCCACCCGTCTCTGGGCTTGAGCTGGTGTGAATAGGTTTCTGTTCCCTGCCAAGTGACGAGAATAGTCTATCAGGCAGGGTGCGGTGGCTCATGCCTGAAATCCTAGCACTCTGGGAGGCTGAGGCAGATGAATCACTTCGGGCCAGGAGTTTGAGACCAGCCTGAGCAACATAGAGAGACCCTATCTCTACAAAAAATTAAAAAATTAGCCAGGCATGGTGGCACATGCCTGTAGTCCCAGCTACTCAGGAGGCTGAGCAGGAGGATCACATAAGCCCAGGAATTGGAGGCTGCAGTGAGCTATGATGATGCCACTGCACTCTAACTGGGGCAACAGAGCGAGACCTTGCCTAAAAAATAAAAAAAAAAATTAAAAATTAGGAAAAGAATAGTCTTTCAGCCAGTTCAGAATTTCAACAGCTGAGCAATTGGTGGGCCCCAGTTATGGTTTCCTAAATCTAGGCCCAGAGAAGGGACATTTGTTTCCTAGGAAAACAAGAAAGCCCCTAAGTCAGTCAGGCGGAGGCCTCTCTGACCCGGTGGTGCTCCGGCGGCAGTGACAGCAACGGAGCACTTCTCTGTGCCAGACACCATGCCAGCTACACTGCACACCCATCCCAGGGGGCCAGCCAAGCTCAACCACGCCCCACCCCCCACCTGCTCTAGCTAAAGAAAACAATAACAAACCACACACGAGCGTGCTCAACAGCGTGGAACGGTATGGAAACACCCACGACAAAAGGCAGGTCTGAACCAAACTACTTCCTGATCCCCAAGCACTTTCTGTCGGGGCGCCAGGGCCTTCACAGACGGGAGCTCACTCACCTTCTCCCATCTCTTAAGAGGCAAAATAATGGTCACTATTTATGGTCAACTTTTACAGGACCAAGTTCAAGCCACTGGTGAGGGGATAACACAGGCCTGGTGGCCCCCGGTTCAGCCCAACACCCGCTCTGCCAAGAACAGCTCAAGACACCCAGGTTCAGAGAAAGAAGCCAAGCCCTTCTCACTTCTGAATCTCAAGAAGCCCCAGCTTAGCCTGAGCCCCACGCCTCCAGGCTCCCAATCCTACCTGTGCGGGTGACTCAGACACTCCTGCTGGTTCTCAAAGCCACGGCTCCTACTGGAGGAAAAGAGTGGTCAGAAACACCCACCTGCTGGGCTGTAGGAGCCCACTCCACTGACGGGGAAGAGGATGTCAGCGTCACCATGCAGCACATGCAGCGGAGCCCAGCCGTGCATCTGGGAGAGGCAGGTGTTCCCGTCCAGCGGCCTGCGGTGAAAGAATACAGCTGTGTGACCTGAAGGCCCATGACTCACCACAAACACCTGCTGGGAATCCACGAGTGCCCTCCTGCAAACTGACCAGGCCATGGCGTGGGCTGGGAGTCGGAGCTTGTAGCCCAGATCCAGACCTCTTGCATTCGTTCTTTCAACCAGTATTTACTGAGCACCTACTATATTCCAGGCACTGTGCTCACTACAGAGGGTGAAGAGGCAGCAGACTGTTTATCCTGCCCTCATGGAGCTGACAATCTAGTGGGGAGAGGAGCGGGAATGGACATGAATCAAATAATCCCGCGAGAAGGTATAAAATGGCAGCTCACGTTCGAGGAGCTGGTCTGCAAGGTCGGGGGAGGCTGCCTTGAAGGAGGAGGTTTGAGGAGAGAGCTGGAGGCAGCCCAGGCACCTGAGGGAAGAGGAGGAGCCAGAGAGAGGAAGGGGGTGGAACTGGGTGTGCAACCGGCCGAGGCAGGAGGAAGCACCCGTGCTCCGGGTTCTGAAATGATGGCAGCCACCTGACCTGGGGCTAGTGTGGCTGCACCTCACTGGTTCTCAGACCCTCGTGGGTAAAAGGACAGCATCAGACCAGGTCCTGACCGGGTCCCCTCCAAGAGACAGGCTCAGCTCAAGTATTAACCAGGCTCATATGATCTGTTACATTGTCACTTTATTCACAAAGGACAAAACCAACATGCACAATCTTTGTCATGCCAGGCTGGTTCAGCTGAGTTTGTCTGACAGAGTATTTGCCCGATGCAGCATTTGCAATCAGCAAATACTAATAAATACCAATTTGTATTTATATAGTACAGTCATCCCTCAGTATCCGCAGGGGATTGGTTCCAGGAGCCCCCAAATCCAAGGATGCTCCAGTCCCTTATATAAAATGGTGTAGTGTTTGCCTAAATCCTACGCACATCCTCCCATATATGTACTTTAAGTCATCTCTAGATTTCTTATAATACATAATACAATGTAAATGCCACGAAATAGTTGTTATACTGTGTTTTATTTGTATTATTTTTATTATATTGTTATATTTTATTATTTATTTCAAATACTTTTGAATCACCGTTGGTTGAATCCACAGAAGCAGAGGGCCAACTGTACTTTTTTTTTTTTTCTGAGACAGAATCTCGCTCTGTCACCCAGGCCAGAGTACAATAGCATCATCATAGCTCACTGCAACCTCAAACTCCTGGGCTCAAGCAATCCCGAGCAGCTGGGACCACAGGCATGTGCCACTGCACCCGGCTAATTTTTTCTATTTTTAGTAGAGACAGGGTCTTGCTCTTGCTCAGGCTGGTCTCAAACTCCTGAGCTCCAGCGATCCTGAGCTCAAGGGATCCTCCCGCCTCAGCCTCCCAGAATGCTAGGATTACAGGCGTGAGCCACCGTGCCAGGCTGGCTCAACTGTACTTTAAAGTCTATAAAATCACTTTGTAAAGAGGACCAAAGCAGATTGTAATCATACCTACTTAACAGAGGAAGGAAAGGGGGGGTGGGGAAAAAGGGAACAAGAACTCGGAGATGATGTGGCTTGTCCAAGGTCAAGGTCATCAGCCATAAGCAACAGAACCCAAACTGTAGGACTGGAGCCTAGGTCCTCCAGATCCAATTACAAACCGGTCACCTGCCTCCTGTCTACCAGGTGATATTACTTACACAGCTTTTCTTTATTTTACAGTAGGGAGCAACACACTTTTTCTGTAGAAGACCAGACAGTAAATATTGCAGGCTTTGTGACACTCATCTTTGGTGGTATTTCTTTACAATTCTTTAAAAATGCAACCACCATTCATAGCTTGGGGGCAGATCTGGCCTGCAGGCATCGTATGCCAGCTCCTCTTTTAGAGGCTTGACAGGTAGAGAGTCTCCTTTCAGCCCTCTCTAGCTTTTGGTCAGACATTTGGCACCGAGGGAGAAACACAGGAGGAAATAATCCTAACAGAATCCTACAAAATGTATCATTTAATCCTGCAGGTAACGCTGTGAGACTTCAGACAGCAGACTCCCACCCATCCTGGCAGCAGAACCCGACTTGGGCCAAGTCTCAGATGAACCTGGCTGTGCCTCTAGAATCTGTTCAGAGCCACCCCGCCACGATCCCCTGAGGCTCTGATCCAGCAGCTGGGACCAAGGGGCAGACACCCAGAGTCACCAAAAGCAGCCAGTTCCTTCCCCGGCACTCCACTGGCTCCAGGCAGGTGGGATTTTCTGCTCAGTTCTGAGACAATTCTTGCCACTTCCCTGTAACACATGGGATTGCAAGGTGAGGCCAGGCCCCTGACAGGATGAAGTTGGGAACCCAAGAAAAAGTGGGCCCGAGGGCCACTGTCCCAAGATGAGTTACGTGAAAGAGATTCCTGAGGCAGAGATGCCTGAGTATATGGCGCCATGATTGGCTGAAAAACATGAGTGTTGCTTTTCATTAGGAAAATTAAGGCACTTATTTCAAAACCTAGAAAATGCCAAAAACAAAAGAAAAGAAAAACACCCATGGCCACATTACCCAAGACACAACTGGGTCAGACACAGTCTCTTGAGGGTCTTTTTTCGTTCTTGCTGTGCACACTTTTCTTTACACAATTGTAATGAAACTAAACAGAACTGAAGCGGAATTTTATATCTTGTTTTTTCTTCATTAGCTCATCTTCATACCACTGGATACCCTTAGACATCATCTGAGAAGTTTAAGACCCTAAGCATTAAGATGTTAAGACATAAACTACGAAATACTCTGCTGCTAACTATACCCCTGTGGTTGCACATTTAGGTCAGCACCAGTGTTTTGCTTCTCTGAATAAGGACTTTGGAATCCAGATGCGGTCACATTCCCCCCCAAGTTGAGGGTACATCCTCAGGGCAGAGTCTCCGCAGTGGAACTACTAAATCAAGTGGGGTAAACATCTAAGGTTCCTGACATTTAGTTAGACTGTTTTCCCCCAGGGCCATTAACTGCTACCAGCTGACTACAGACAGGGCTAAGACAGCCCCTGTGCCCCACCCTTGCCACCTCATTCATCACACAGGCATGTGGTGAGCACCTACTGCGTGCCTGCAACTAAGGCCCCACTGAGAGCAAGCCCGCCCCTTCCAGCAGGGCAGGAACCCAGGGCTCTTGGCAAATATCGTGGGCAAATTACAGTGTCTTGTTTAACTTTGCATTTGCTTAACTGCTAGTGAGATGCAACATCTTTCCATATATTTGTAATTCTTTTTGAATTAGGTTTTCCCCCTGACTTCCCTACTAGTGTCACAGAGCGCACATAAAGTGATAGAAAAACCTCTGTCAATAATAAAGACACTATCCCTTTTGAAGAAAAACAAAAAAAGCAAAGCCAGCACTTGTGATAAATATTGAGGTGGGAGGAACAAAATTTTTCCTCGGGCATCAAAGAAGTGGTTTAATTACCAGTAAACAGAAGAACAGGCCCAATTTTTGGCCAACAGATCATCATAAAGACAACAGGAGAACTGGACTTTGCCAGAGGCTACAGCAAATCCACAGTGAGCTTCTCCTGGTCCTGGCCACACTCCCCTCACATACCTGCTGGGTGCCAGCCTCCTAGACCTTTCCTGTGAACATTAGCTTAGCATCAAAACCCCAGTATTACTCAGTAGGCCATCTCATCGTGCCTCTGCTCCTGCCCAGGCTGCTCTGCAGAATGTTCAGTCAGGATCCCCCTTTATGCCGGGAGGGGCTGTCCACAGTCTGCAAGAGGCCCCATGGCCTGGGAGGGCCCAGGCCCCTGTGAAGGTCACCCAGCACTGTTTGTGCTTTTACACATCACAATGCCAGCGGCTGCCCTGGCTCACACGCTGGCCTCACCCTCTGGGCTCCACTCCGAGGCACCAGCGGGGTAGGAAGAGGAATGACTGTTTGGGGCCAAAACACCCAGGGAGTGAGTCAACTCAGAGACACACTTTCCTGGAGATCCACAGGATGAAGTGGCATTTCCCAAAGGCCCAGATTGAGAATTAGAAGCAGTTGTGATGGTTAATCGTATGTGTCAACTTAGCTGGGCCATGGTACCTAGATATTTGGTCAAACATTATTCTAGATTTTTTGGTGAGGATATTTTTTAGATGAGATTAACATTTAAATCAGTAGACTTTGAGTAAAGCAGATCGCCCTGCATAATGTGGGTGGGTGGGCTTCATCCAAGCAGTGGAAGGCCTCACTAGGAAAAAGACTGACCTCCCGAGAGGAAGAGGGCATTCTGCTAGCAGACTGCCCCTGCATTTGAACTGCGGGTCTCCAGTCTGCCAGGCAACCCTGCAGATTTCGGACTCGCCAGCCTCCATAATCATGTGAGCCATTTCCTTAAAATAAATCAAAAGAGAGATAGACAGACAGAAACAGACAAATAGAGATGGAGGGACAGAGCGAGGCACACAGAGACAGAGTAAGAGCAAGAGGGAGGGGGAGACACACACATCCACACACAGCCCCATTGGTTCTGTTTCTCGGGTGAGCCCCTGACTAATACAGCAGGTCACGGGACTTGATTCCCAGGTATGAAAACATTCATACCTTGTGAGCAAGAACAGTGCAGCTGAAAAGCTGCGCTACAAATAATTCAGTAGGGAAAAAAGCCTTGTGCATGAAAATGTTCATCTTGGAACAGCTGATACAATAAGCAAAGGCAATAAAACAACAACTAAATACTCAGCAGTGGGGAAACCCTCTGCACGTCATGGCATGTTGATCTGGCCGAATAGCAACTAGCAGTCAGGGTTCTGCAGAGAAACAGAACCAGTGCATGTGTGAATAGACAGAGATACAGAGATACACAGACACAGATTTACAATGAGGAATCGGTTCACATGATTATGGAGGCCGAGAAGTCCCGTGATCTGCAGTCTGCAAGCTGAAGACCCAGGAAAGCTGGTGGTGAAATTCAGTCCAAGTCTGAAGCCTGAGAACAAGGAGAACAGAGGGTGTAAATCCTAGTCCAAGAGCAGGAGAAAATCGACATCCCAGCTCAAGCTAGCTGGCAGTTTTTGTTCTATTCAGGCCCTCAATGGATGGGATGAGGCCCACCCACATTGGGGAGGGCAATCTATTAATACTAAATTCACTGATTCAAATGCTAACTTCATCCAGAAACATCCTTACACACACACCCAGAAATAAAGTCTAATCTGGGCATCCTGTGGCCCAGTCAAGGTGACACACAAAATTAACCATCACATCAACCAATCGACATTCATAGGTAAGTAGAAACATGAAAAATATTTGATACTATAAGCTTTAGAGTACAGCACATCGGAACCCAAATCCCATTTTTGCCAATTGCTTTGACAAATCTCAATTCTCTTTGGAATCCTGTTCTCTCATCTGTAAAATAGGGGTAATGCCCACTAACGGGATAGGTTGCTTTAAGAATTACAATAAGGTATATGAAGCACGTTGCAGCATCTGGCATATCACAGATGATCAATAAGGTAATACTACTCACACAAGTATCTGTGTGAATGAGGGCTACAGTAAACGCAAAAAAACAAAAATAGGCATAGTCTCATCAGAAAGGAAAAAATCCTAATGTTAAAATAACATGAAAATGCAAAGCTTAGGGATAGAGACATGCCACAGCCTTAATAATACCATGAGATTTTAGGCTTACAGAAAGACACGTTTCTGTGTATTCATTTTATACTCTAATGGACTCTGTTTTGAAGTAGCCATGATTAGGACAACACTGCACCCAGGCCAGGTTGTCTGGATTCAAAGATTCAAGGTCTTTACTATGCTTCCAGCCTTCACATGCATCAAGCCCCTTCCATAGGAATAAATCTATAGCAACGCCAGTGTTAAGGCAACAAGTACAGTAAGTTACTGCTGTTCATACCCCTGTAGATAAATGCAGAAATTACCAGCCCACAACTATTGTCTAGACCAATGGTCTCCAACCTTTTTGGCACCAGGGACCAGTTTCATGGAAGACAATCTTTCCACAGACATGGGGCGGTGGGGGAGGCAGAGCTGAGGTGGTGATGTGAGTGATGGGGAGCAGCTGTAAATGCAGATGAAGCTTTGCCTGCTCACCTGCTGCTCACGTCCTATTGTGCGGCCAGGTTCCTAAGTTTCATGGAAGACAATTTTTCCATAGACGGGCAGGGAGGATTTGGGGGGTTGGGTGGGAGCAGGCAGAGCTCAGACAGTGATGCAAGCGATGGGGAGCAGCTGTGGCCTAGTTCCTAACAGGCCACAGACCAGTCCTGGTCCGAGGCCCAGGGAGTGGGTACCACGGTTCTAGACTAACCCTGTCTTAGTCCTGAGCTTCCCATGTTAGTGTCAAGTTAGAGATGTGGGGAAAATCCAATCAACAAAAACAAAAGGCACGGACATAAAGAATCTCAAGGCACACATCTGACATTCAGTTTGTAATAAGTACCTTCAAATAGACTCCCTTCCTCTGTCTTGGTTCTCAGGAGAAGAGCAGGCTAACATTCCTTCCTCCTAAATATAGACCTGAAAAATGAATAATGCCCTGCACAAATACAAAACTCATACTCTTATTCGGCCCAATACTGTAGAAAGAGAAAACAGGTAATGTAACCCCCTTCATTAAGAGCTCGAGAGGAACTTACTTCTCAGGCGACTCTGAATGGCCCACGCGCTTCCTCCCCGACGAGTTCCCATACACGTCATCTTCGTTTTCATCCACATCTTCATCGTCGATGCTTTTCACATCGAGCTTCTGGTACCCACACTCCCCGTTCAAAGACAGAGAATCGATTTTCCATGAGTTACTGCTCTGACTTCCGTTGGAATTTGGCCCGAAGGGGCTCTCGAAGGCCGACATGATATTGACAGAGGAGCGGTCAGAGTTCTCCTCCGAGCTCTCGCCTGCTCCAGGTACCTTTTTAAAAACATCCCCAGAGTTCTGCTCATCTTCCTCATCATCAAATGAAATGATGTTGGTCACCTTCTTCTTCTTCTTCCGCTCCTTTTTACATTTGGCATCTGGACAAAAAAGGACACGGTGTAAGAAAAACATGAGCAAAACAAAAGGATGATGGAGCCAACTCACCTCTGGGTTACAGAAAAGATTACTCTGCTGAGAAATACATTGTAAGATAAAGTCAGATTTTTTTAAAATCCTGATAAAAATCTGTCTACAGACGACTGAGGAAAATGGACATAGGCCTCTTCCTCTGATTTACATAAACACATCAGAGCATGTGTTAAAATCATTCCTTCTAAGCGGTCACTTTGATTTGAAGGATGCTGCCGTTTCTAAAATGATCTCTATTATTTCACTTTGGAAAATAGTCTCACAGCTAATAGATGAGACCAGGAAAACCAGTTAGGGGTTGCAGTCAATTGTGTGACAGCCAGGAATTCCTCCCATCCCTGTGTGATATCCCTCACAACGGGACTCTGCTGCTTCTCCCATGCGGAGGTGCTGTCTATCCTGCACCCCTTGAATTTGGCTGGCTTAGTGCTCTGCTTTTACTAAAGGAATGTGCCAGAAATAACTGTGCGAGTTCTAGAGCTGAGGAGTCAAGGGATCTCACAGCTCTGCCTTTGCCCTCTTGGACTGCTGTCCTGACACTGCTACGTGAAGAAGCCAGTCCAGCTTACCGGAGGGTGAGAGGCCATGGATAGAACTGAATTGCCCAGCACCAATTTCAACAGGAGAGTAATCTTGCAGCTCAGCCACCAGCTAAAGGCAGCCCCATGAGTGAGCCCAAGGGAAACCGGCGGAACCACCATGCCAACCCACAGAATCATTAAAAAAATAAATAAATAACCATGGTGGCTCTAAGCCACTACATTTTTTTTTGAGTCATTTGTTACACAGCAAAGGCTAACTTGAAACAGAAATCAAGGCTGCCTTAGTGACCAGTGCTGAGATGAGCCTGTTTCTTCACCCAGTTTAATCATCAAACCTGGATAAGAGACACTTTGAGCCAATGCCCAAAAATCCAATCCATCTAAACCAAGGTGTGATATGGTGACACCTCACCAGTGTGCCCCAACTCAGAGATGATTTCAGAAGCAGAGTTGCAAAGACAGGTGGGACCGACACTCCTCTGGGTATAAAAATTTCAGTCCGTGTTACACAAAGCCCACAAGAGTCCTGTTTCCTACGTCATTCACTGGGTCTCTGCTGGAGGAGGAGAGGGCAAGGGAGACAAAGTCATGGTGCACCAAAGAACCTACGGATTCCAAGTTTTCACCATCAGTAATTCCAAAGGGATGGCCAGGACTCCTGCCTTGCTGAAGAGACTGGAGAATACCAGCACTAAGCACCTAAACCCAAAATTTCCAATTTTGCTGCAGCAACATCCTAATGTCCTAGAAGCCTCAAGGAGTATTATAAACTTCCTGCAATATTAATCTCAACTGAATCAACTTTCTTTGGCCTCCCCATAGTCTAGAATCAAAGCTGATGAATTCCTCCCTTCCCTCAGGCCTCCACTTAAATGTCATCCCCAACAAAGGCAAGCCCAGCGGTACACATTCTCCACAGCACCACATGCTTGGTTTCACCCCATCTATCCCGAGGATAGTAAATTATTGATATAATATGTCACTAACTGCCTACCCCCACCCTTCCCAAAGGAGACTGTGGGCTGAGTGCCGGCAATGTGTCTTTGTTCCTCCGCTTTCTGCCTAGGACAGAGAACACAATGAATGAACAAAGGAATGGATGGATGAAGGAATAAATGAGTGAAGATCAACCTCATCCGGCTTCCTGAGACTCTCACAGCTTCACCTTCAGTTTGCTGTGACTGACCTGTTCATTGTTCTACCTCTGATCTTCACATATAAGTAAGGTCATCGGCCCCTTCTAGAGTGAATGAGGGTAAGAAAAATACACGAAAATGTGAACTGAAAATGCAAGTGCATCCGATTTCATTCCCCTTGGAACGACTTTCAGACGACAAGGTGTATCCACCTTAGCCACACTCTGCTATCCTTTTAATGGCCCTGTTCCACCTCAAGTGCCCGTTCTTGCTCACCGGCACTGACGTTCTTGGACACGACGGGCAGGGGGTCGGTCTCCTGTTCGGGTTTGATGAGGATGGAGACTGCAGAGGAGGCTGTGATCTCCCTGAAAAGGCTGCTCACTCCTTGCGTGGATTCCTTCAGCAAGGAGGTCACGTTCTGCGTTGACTCCTTCAAGAGGTCCGAGACGGTGGGGGCAAACTTACTCTGCCCATTTAAATCCTTGTTGTCAATGTTAATTGCGAAGAGGATGGAGTTCAGACCTGTCCGAAAAAGGGAAAAGTCTGGAGTGTTTGCTGTTGAGTGGTCATGCCTCCAACACGAGAAACAAGCTGCAGACGATACAGCACTCAAGCGGACACACACCAATCTTGAACGTTTATAAAACCTTCTACAAAACCGGGGTCAGTAGACACCAGCTATTGTGGGAGTTGAGTCTTTCCAGATTCTCTCCCTAACAGCCAGGAAGACAAATACAAATAAGTCAGCCAGGAGGAGGGAAAGACACAAGTTCTGAGGTCAGGCTGCCTGGGGTTGAATCCCTGCACTGCTGCTTTCTAGCTACGAGATCTTGGTCAAGCAATTTCTAATCTCTCTGAGCTCCAGTTTCATAATCTGTAAGGTGAAGACAAAGTCATCTCCCTCACAGGGTTATGAGTGTTAAACACAGTCACCCACCAAAAGCATTCAGTTCCATAAGCAGCAAAAACATGCACTGATTACATCATCATGAATACTTTAGGCAAAAACTTACACCGCTATCTTACAGCCTACAAAGGAAATCACAGTCAAACCATGACTTTTCCTCATCAATGGACAAGAGTAACCCTAGACATGTGGGACTTAGTGTAAACTTTCAGGGGCAAAAAAGGAGGCAACAAAGAAGTTGGAAGAAAGAAGCAAGTTCCCCCTGCTGTCCAGTTGATTCCATCTCTCTCTGTGAGTGAGAGTCAAATGGCAAACAATTTAACAATCCACCAAGTGACGTCAATCCAGGACCTTCATGCTGACAAACCCTGTATGAGACTGTTTATCACACGTGGTTCTCTCACAGCCTGCAGAGGTGACTGCTGAGCTATCATGATTCCCGCCTCGCAGAGGAAGAAAGTAAAGGTAACGAAGCTCACAGGATCTGCCCCAGGTCTCCAGCCAGCATGAGGAAGAGCCAGGACTCAAAGGTGGTCTCCCCCCTCCAAATCCCCCCAATTTAAATTACACCTGCAAAGCCACAACCAAACGCCTTCAACCACATGCTTTCTCTGCCGAGGTATCAAATTCTAGATGAAGGGACCCAACACTCAATGCCAGTAAAGGAAGGATGGTGGCAGAGAAAATCGCAGCATCCCTTGGGGTTGTAAATCCACTCCAAGGCAGCCCCCTCTCCTCGCCAAGCTTCACAAGGCCCATCGCTCCTGCCCTTGGCCAGGCTTACCAGCTGCCATGGTAGGAAGCATGCTAGACCTTTCTTCATCCATCACGAAAGACCAGTCTTCATAAAAAGCGCTGCAAATTGAAAGAGAAAACAGTTCTGAATGGTGGTTCTCTGCATCCACTAACCAGACAGTTCCATTAGATGGGTCCCTAGAAGAGCCATGCCTGGTCATCCCAGAAGGGACATGGTATGTCTGAGGTCTCTGCTTATGAAGCTTATGGTTATAACAAGAGGATTGAACATGTACAGTTAAGGTAAGGTCAAATATTTTGTTTTGTTTGTTTGTTTTGAGACTGTCTCACTCTGTTGCCCAGGCTGAAGTGCAGCGCGGTCATCATAGCTCACTGCAGCCACAAACTCCAAGTCTCAAGGGATCCTCCTTCCTCAGCCTCCCGAGTAGCTGGGACTACACACGCACACCACCACGTCCAACTAATTTTTCTATTTTTTGTAGAGATGGGGTGGCGGGTCTCACTGTGTTGCCCAGGCTGGTCTCTAACTCCTGGCCTCAAGTAATCCTCTCACCTCAGCCTCCCAAAGTGCTGGGATTACAGGTTTGAGCCACAGCACCCAGCCCAACTGTGATGCTTAATTGCTGGACTCACTTCAACTTCTCATTGTTAAATTAAACTTTGATGCTGAGTATGTAACACTGAACTACCTGCAAATGATCTGCTGGAAAGAGCTTCATAAAAATTCATTTTAAGAAACACGAGTATGTCAGCAGAAACTCTGCAGGCAAAAAAACAAAACAAAACAAAACAAGAGGAAACATGAGGATGTTCCCCTTAACTAAAGCTGGTTAATGCTCCGAAGGTACAGATGTTCTCAGCTTCCCAACTCTGACCCTGAGCAGCACATACAGGTGCGGTCAGCATCAATCATCCTGGTTCCTCAGCCCTCCCGTTTCAGCCCCACAGAGTGTTACCATTCAAGTGGGCAAGGTGTCACGGGCAACACCAATGGGAGAACTTCAAGGGTATTTTTAAGAACCCTAGTGCGCAATCCCAGAACACCTAAGAAATTACTGGTACAGAGGGGACTACAGAGCAGAAGCAGCAGAAGAGGGGACCTGAGCTAGGGAACAGAGAGATGGTAAGGTAAGAAATCGAGGGAACACATCGCAGTACTAACGAGATGCCACCTTCATGAATGAAATGGAATTTCACTGCTGAAGATCTGGGCATTGCTGATGTGGAAGTCATTCAAGGAACCAGGGCAGGATTAATCACTGTCCCTTTGTATCACCAGGGGACACAAAACAACATGCCTCGTCCGCCATTCTCAGAGAGAAAATATTATTAACAGCCAGAGCCAGAGCAAGAGATATCAGAGACATCATGAGTACAGGCAAAAAAACAGAAAAAACATGCCAACATGTTTGCAGAGTTATCTCGGTGTAACTCACGAGTGATTTAAGTTTTTACCCCAGTGGATTTTACAGCATTTCTTAATTGTTTTAAGGAAATGCGGTTGTTTATACCTTCATTGACTCATATTCGGTGGCTTCTCCCTGTCATTGTGGAGTAACTGTTGTACCTCCCCACCCTGCTGAGCTCAGGGGTGGCCTTGTGACTTGTGCTGGTCAATGAAACCACTGGAAGTGTCTCTGTGGACGGGAGATCTAAGAGCCAGTGCATAGTTCAACTATACCTCCTTTTCCCACCTGTGCAATCACAAAACCGTATGTAGAGATGGAGCCTCCAGTCACCTGAGTCCCTGAGATGAGAATGTCCCTGCTCACCCATGACAGACATGTAGCACAAGGAAGAAATAAACTTGGTTGTCAAAAGCCACTGGAGATTTTATGGTGTTCATTATTGCAGCATAACCTGACCTATGCTAACTGATAGAGTGAACTTCATGATCAAGAAAAACATAATAATAGAAGGAAGTTTTAATAAAAACAAATGGATTCTTTCCCCAACTCAAAACTTCCATATTTTTTTCAGTCAGTTTGGGAGTGACTGAATGAATGAACCCCCAAATTAAAATTCCACCCAGTGAAGAACAAGCTGTGTCCTAAGCCAACAGCTCTCCCCACACCCAAGCCTTCATGATAATAAACGTTGATGTGAGTGCTGGCTGTCCACAGGTCCATGCTCAGCCCTTCCATTCATTCTCCCACCAGGGTCCCCACAGCGCAGCTGAACACAGGGGGCTGTAGGAGGGAACCCACTGGCCCCAGGTGGAAGGACTTGGACGCAAACCCAGACCGTCTGGCTCCAGATTCCTCGATCTTCGCCCCTCAGCTGAGCCCCCTCCCAGAACCCGTCCCGGCCCGGGTACCTGAGCCTGCAGCGGTCGGCCAGGAGCATGTGCAGGTAGCGCTCCAGGGAGTGTTCGTTGAGGGCACAGCGCAGCCAGGCGCGGCCTCGGCCCACGTCGGAGGAGATGTGGCGCAGGGAGTAGAAGCGCTGCAGCTCGTGCTTGCTGAGCACCTCCTTCACGTAGTACCAGAACACGGGCTCTGGGGAGAGAGGGCACGGGGCCGCGTCACTCGGCCTGGGACGCTCATTGTTTTTACAGTAACAGTCCCTAGGCAATTCTTCAGATTGTAAAGGGATATTTCCTTAGCACAGAAAAGGTGGGAGATACCAAAGAGCATACCAAAAATAAAAATGACCCTAAAACCTACCATTCAGAAATGACCAATGTTAACATTTTCAAGAATTTCCTTCCAGTCTTTTTTACTTCACTTTTCTTTTTTATACAAAGTCAACATTTGTGGTAGGTTGAATCATGACCCTCGAAGATATCCACGTCCTAATCTCTGGAACCTGTGACTGTTACCTTACACAGCAAAAGGGTCCTTGCAACTGCCATTAGTCAAGGATCTGGAAACTGGGAGACTATCCTGGACCATCCCAGCGGGGCTGATGGAATCACAGGTATCGTTATAAGAGGGAGGCAGGAGAGATTTGACACAGAAGAGGAAAAGATGATGTGAACAGGGAAGCAACGATGAGAGCGATGTGGCCACGGCCAAGGAATGCTGGCAGCCCAGGGCAGCTGGAAGAGGCAAGGAATGGATTCTGGACTTCTGGCCTCCAAAACTGTAGGAGAATAGATCCATACTGTTTAAAAGCCACCAACTTTGCATTAATTTGTTATAGCAGCCATAAGAAAATAATACAACATCATATTGTATGAGTGTATATGCATATATACATAAAATTTTGTATCCTGATTCATTTATTTTCTTGTCTAGATCATGAACATTTTCCTATTACAATTAAAAGTCTTTGAAACACAATTTTTGATGGCTTCCCAGTGAAACAAAATTTAACTATTTCTCTACTACCGAGGACATGATACCTTGCCAATTTTCCCTCTATACAGCAAAGAGCACCCTTATACATAAATAATCGTCCTAATGTCTAGTTCCTTAGGAAAGATTTCCATACGCTGAATTACTAGGTCTGAGGATGGAGACCGATTTAACGCTTTAAGGGAAGCCTAAGAAAGTTTGCTTTTATCCGTAAGTCAGTCATTCCTACAACTACCTGTATCTCCTCACATCCCACCTTTTGTTACCCACATGCACACAGACTTTTTTTCCACAGTTGTAACTCTAGTGCATACCTAATTTTGTGATCAATTTTCTTCACTTAACATTGGCACATCGACACTTTTTCATGCTGCCAACAACAGCAGCAACAGCAACCACTATTTATGGAGCTTTAACTATGCAGCAGTCCTTGCAGTGAACACTTTACATCTGACCTCATAACAACCAAGGCCATGTCCATGTCGAAGACCAGGTCTGAGGCCTGGACAAGGGACGTGACTCGTCCAATAACAGGGTTAGTAAGCGCTGCGGCAGAAAGGGACCTCAGAGCTCACTGCAAACCACTAAATCACACTGCCTTGTGAAAGGAGGGGACTCTACCATCTTCAAAATGATCATGTTCACAACTGCTTAGTAATATTCTAAGGGGGGAAACGCTGAGTCTCTGCTGCCAGACGTGGCTTCCAATCCAGGAGCTAAACAGGCTCAAAGACCCCTCTGCAATGTGACACTCTTTGAATTTGCCTTCCAGAAGGATGCAAATACACACATCTCCAGAAACTGGACAGCTAGTTAGTAACTTCACTCTAATGTTTCAGTTCAACTTAGTAAGGATAGACTGCACTCTTCCTGTGAGTCATGAACTGGGCCAGGCTAGGGGCCACCAGGCAGAAACAAGGACTCACCCCTAAGGGGCTTCCAGTCTAGTGGGCAGGACAAACGGGTGAAGAGATCATTCAACCGAATGACCCTGGGCAAGTCACTCAACCATGCTAAGCCTCAGATTCCTCTCCCATAAAATAAACACAAAAGTACAGAGTCTCCCAGGGTTACTGCGGTAACTGGGAAAAGGGAGGAAAAGTGCTGAGCACGATGCCCAGCCACCATCTGCTTAGTAAGTTGCCTTCTTAGCAGAGGGCATTTGTGTGGCTTCCCCTTTTCCTTTTTGTGTTAACAGCATCTAAGTGCGTTTGTGTGTACAGGTATGCATACGTATTTGTGGATCAAGCCAACCTCTGGGATCATTTAGAATAAACGTCCCAAGAATGACGGAAAACTCCACCAACAGGGCAGGTCACTCAGGACTATCTTCTGTCTCAATCCCTAAATGTCAAACTAATCCCAGACTCATCAGATCACTCCAAACCACACAGCTGTACAAAACAGCCTTCTTTCTACTCTCTGACTCTCTCAGAAACCAGGGCGGGGGGAATTTGCCGACAGTAATGCCCTGGGCCAGCCAGCCAATAATGTGTTTTGAAATGCCTGGACAGCCATCTGTATATCCATCACATTTAAAATCAAATGACTCTCACCTGCACCAAGTCTTTCTTGAAAAATGCATTCACCTCCCTCTGACCTTGAATGCACGTGAACGCTTTACGGTATGTTTTCACCTTTCAATTTTGCAAATTGCTTACCGCTACAGAATCCTTTTAAAGCTTGTCAGAACGATGCTGATGATAAGAATTATCCCAGTAGGGCTCTGCTTCCACTGCCAGAATTAATGTGTTCTATTTAAAGTACAGCTCACCTGCCAATTAGCGCATGCAGTGTCCATAATTTAATCTGGGAATATATACTGATCTGCTTTGAAACATGAGGTTAATTCCAAAAGCAGGCAAGGGCTTTGGATTCTCTCAACACCTGAAAGCCAATTGCCAACAAGAGCAAGAGCCAGGAAAGGGGTGTTGAGGAGAGCTGCCGTGGGGCACTTGTTAATAGAGGAAGACTAATAGCACCAGGCTTTTGGCAAAGTTTCTATCAAGCCTCAACTTTCATTGATGCCAAGAATTCATACCCTGGAGACCAGAAGAAAGACAAAAACCTTGGCACAAATTCTAGTTCAGGCATTATGTGACCTTGGGCAATTTATGTTGTCCTCTATTTTCCTCATCTGTACAATGGGGATAACAGTACCTACTTCTAAGGATTGCTATCATGAAAAAATGAGAAATAAGAATACATGTAAAGTGTATCCAATAAATGCAGTCAATAAATGTTAGCCATAATTATTAACACACCTGGCATATAATTGGCACTCAATGAAAAAACAGCTGTTAATATCATTACTACACTTGCACCAAAAGCCCAGGCACTAAGGCAGGCAAACGACATCCTTTTTCCTTTCTTCCAGCACCCGCATTCCTAGGGGAAATGTGTTCCACTGCTTCCTTGGGAACTGAGTGGCGTTCAGCAGTGCCCTCACCTCTCCCTCCCACAGGGGTGGGCAGGTAACCCAGTCTGGGCAATTACCTGGCCACAGCAGGGCATCTTCAATTTTTATTTTTTTAAATATTGCAAGAAAATGTTATTTATCCTGATTGCTGAGTCTTTTGACATCTCGTTAAATTTTGTGGCCAAAGTGAGCATCTCACTGGCCTCACTCTAGTCCCAGCCCTGGACCACAGGTCCTCCCCACAACTCCCACCTGCACGGCTAGCAGGGCCTTCTCTCCTTCAGGAACTGACGTCAGCAAACTGTGACCTGAGGGTCAATTTATCAGCAACCTTTTTTGTAAGTAAAGTTTTCCTGGAACACAGCCACACCCATTTGCTCACATATTGTCCTCGGCTGCCTTCCTGTCGCAAGGGCTGAGCTGAGCAGTTGTGATGGACATCATATGGCTCACAAAGTCTGAAATCCCTTAAGGAAGAAGTTTCTAGAAGTAGAAGCTCTAATAATCATGTAAACCTGGAACTACGTGGAGCTA